AATCTGTCTGACAATGAAAATCTGTTGTATTGTAAAATTCGTTATATCAAAATTCGTTGTAGAAAGAGTTGACTGTACATAGTAAATTATTAAAATTAAATAATTTATAAATAGCAATTATTAATTTAAATAATAATAAAATATTTCTTTTTAAACAAAAAAAATTTATATTTTAAGATTTATTAGAATTTAATATTTAATTATTTAAAGTAATTAGATACTTAATTAAAAAATTTTTTTATTTTTTAAATATTTAAATTATACTTTAATTTATATATATAAATTATTATTTAATAATTTGAAAAGCTTGAAAATTTAGTAATTAATAAATATAATATATATATCATTTAATTTTTAAATAAATTAATATTTAATAAATAATATTTTAATATTCTTATGATATTTTTATATTACTTTGAAAATAATTTTACATATTTTTAATAAGAATAAATTATCTTTAAAATATTATAAATAATAAAATAAATAAAATCAAAAATATTTTTTCTATATTTATATTCAATAAAATAAAAATAAAAAAAAAATATTAATTAAAATATAATGTAAATATTATATACTATATTTCTTATAATTATAACTATCTAATAATTTTTTATTACATATACTATAGAATACATTTTATAATTTTTAAATACTTTACATTTTACAAAAATTTCAAGAATATTATATAAAGTATTAATTTACATTATAAACCTTTTTAATTGAAATTTATATATAATATTTTTTATTATCTCTTAAACTGTAAGTAATAAAATTGTTTCTAAAACATTTTAGAAAATTTAAAATATTTTGATATCTAATGATTATAAAAAAATAAAATAAAATTTTTAGATTTATCATTTTATGATGTATCTAATGATAGTATTTTTAAACTTTTAAAATTCATAATTATCAATATATATTAACTTTTCAATTTTTTAATTATTAAAAAATATATTTAGTTTATTAGATTTACTATATTAAGATTTATTAAATAATAGTATTTTTATATTTCTGAGATTGATAAATAGTAAGATATATAAGTTTAAAATTTCAATTTTTTTATAATAATTTATTATTTATTTATCTTTAAAAAATCACTAGTTAATTACATTTTTTTTTTAATTTTTATTTAGAAAGCATCATAAAATTTATTGTAAAAGTATTAATTTTTTAATAATATATTTTAAAATATTTAAAAATAATGAAAAATGATTGTAATTAATAAATAAAATTGCCTACAAATTTATAGGCAAAACAGTTGAATAGATAAGCTATTCTAAAGTAAGATAATATTATAAGTAATTATAGTAATTATAACTAATAATAATTAAATATTATATATATATCAATTTGATTTATTTTTTAATTATATTATAAAAAATTAATTAATTATTATTTTATTATATTATTATTAAACTAATAAAAAATATAGTATTATTTATTCATCATTAAATTATTAAAGTTTATTATAGTAAACTTTTAATTTTAGTTAATTTTATTTTTGTTTACTATAATAAATATTTACTAAATAAGAAATCATTTGTAATAAATATTACAGTCAACTCTTAATATAATGAACTCTTGATATAACAAATTTTTTGAATAAATATGATAAAAATACTCTTGTTATAGTGAATTAATCAATCAAATCTCTTAAAATCTTCACTAAAGCCTTATAGTAAAGTTAAGGTCTAAAACATAGAGTTCATTATAACAAGAGTTAATTGTATATAAATAAAAAACTATAAGAAATATGTAATATATTAATTTTTATTATTTAATTGACATATTATTTATTATAATATCAAAATATAATTATATTAAATATATTACTAAAATCAAAAATTATATAATATTAAAATATTTAATTTGAAAAAAAATAATCTTTAATTAATTTTGCTATAAAAATATAATATAACATGCTTTAATCTAAAATATAATATTTAAAAACTCTTTATTGATAGATAGTTATTATAAAATGAATTACTTGTTTGATTATATCAAATGCTTTTTTTGATAAAACTTTTAGAATTAATTCTTCTTTATTATCAGTATCAGATGTTTTTTTATTATAATCTTATATCATATCTATGATTTATTTATCAATCAAAATTTTTCAATAGATGGAGAAGTTTGATTATAATTATTAGAATTATATCTAAAATTTCATTAACAAGTATACCTAATTTTCGTTGTAATAATTCAGAATTAAAATTAGATATAATTCTGATTTTATTCTAGTACTTATATGATTTGCTATTCTATATTTTTCAAGTTTTTACAATTCAATTAATAGCTTATTTAATATTTAATTTATTTCTATATTAAGTAAAAGATTAGTAATTTTATAAAAAAATAACTAATTCAAAAAAAAATAAAAAATACTTATTTATGCATTAATATCTTAATCAAATTGTTCAATTAAATATTAAATATATAAATACTTATATATAATCTATATTCAATAATTATAAATAATTCATTTATAAAACTTTAATTATTATCAGATTTATAACAATTCTTTATTTTTATTTTCAGCAAACAAATATATTATATCTTAAAATTTTGAATACTTTTGATATATATAGGTTAAAGTTTGACATTATATTTAATAAAAGAAATATAATTCAGATATTGGTAAGTTCTTTTTTTCTTTACTACTTTTTCTGTTTATTGAACTATATCCTTTTAATTTATAATTATTTGTTTTATTATCTTAAAGATTTTTTAAATTTATTATTAGTAAAATTATTATTAAAATCATTTTTATAATTATTATCATAATCTTTATCATTTTTATTTTTATTAGAGAAAGTAAAAAATTTATGTGATAAAGCATTATCAATAATTAAAATAATATATTAATCTTGAAGATAAAATTCATAATCTAATTTACTAACTCATCTATTAAAAATATTATGTTTTATTTATGCCTTTTTATTTGCTTTATATATATAAAATATATTAATAAAACATATAATTTTTTTATATACTATATAATACTAATTTTTAGTATACAGAGTATTATTTTTCTATATAAAACTTAATGTCAAAATATATAAATTTAGTTTTATAAAAAACAAAAAGATAATTTTCATATTTAATATATTTCATTTTTTATAATACATTATATTTTATTTTATATATATTTATGTTTTATATAATTTTTTGTGTATATAATTTTATATTTAAATATTAATTTAAAATATTAGAACTTAATATAAAATGATTTAAAATAAAAAATATATATTACTACTTTATTCTCTAATCTATTATATAATTATTTTACTTTAATTTATTAATTGTTATATTAATATTTAGAAAAGTATTTATTATTTATAGTAATTAAAATATATAGTTAATCAATTTGTAGTTATAAATATACAAATTTTAAATCTTATAAATCTTATATAATGTAATCTTATACAACTTTATAAAGTATAATCTTATAAAGTTTTAAAAAATTTATATAAACTTATATAACTTTGCATAATATTATACTAATATATTACTTAGATTAAAAAACCTTTTTAGTTAAATAATTAATTATTTTAATTATAATTACCATTTCTATTTGAATTTTAATATATGAATACGTTGCCAGTAAAGATATTTAAAGTAAAAAATATTTTACGTAATGTGATCTTACTGGCTAAGCTCCCATATGTTTATAAAATAATATGCATAATTTAATTAAAATATCTTGCTAAGGATTAGAAAATTTAATACCTGTCTAAGGATTAGATTTGATTTTTAAATTTCCTATTTTGAATAAAAATTTTGATATCTGTATCAGCCACACATTTTTTCAATAAAAAAAATAAAAAAAAGCTTAGTATAATGACAAACAAACAAAAATTTTATTTCGATGTTCAAATTCACGCGCAGGAGAAAAAAACGAGATAAACTACCTTGAAAGACATATTTTATTTACGATTTTCACACTATATTTAAGTAGTATATTTCCGAGACGAATTGGTCGCAAAAACGAGCCATGTAAGATATGAATATTAAAATGAATACATTTAAAGTCTGAAATTCACTTTGATATCAAAACAGGACGAGCCAATTCCGTAAATATTAAGCGAGTTTATGGTGATTTATATTCTGAGATTTTCTTTTTTCTGATGAAAAAAGAAATAAACATTGTCGTGATTCGGCCAGCGTAACCGAGATGAACCTCACTCTGATACTATATTTCTCGGGTTTTTCGAAACTCGAAATAGTAATTTGTAAAACCAGTAGTGTACCTTGATCTCGAGAATCAAGCGATAATTGTAAAGCATATTCCTCAACAATTGTACGTATAATATAGTATTTATCTAACTTGATTCATTGTTGAATTTATGTATCTTACATTCATGAAAATTCTAAATATTCATATATTGATATAACAAAAGAACCGAACTAATCAAGATCGTGATGATCAGAAAGCACGAACACATAAACGATATTTTACCTTACGAATGAACGGATTGCACGTTACGATCATACGGCTACTATGTCTCATGACTAGATCTTAATAGCAAACGATCCATAACGGCGAAGGAGTTTACTTGGTATTTTGTATTTATTTATTTAAAAAGAAGGGCAGTAATAAAATCAATTATAAAATAAATATGAATAAAACTTACACCTAATTCCTATTTTGTGGTAGATTTAAATTTCCTAATAACACCTAATTGGATGTATTTTTCAATCACTTCCATGTTGCCTTCTTTAAACACCAAACTCTTTGTCTTGTATCCATTAATAATAATGAACGAAAGTGATTTTTGTGGAATACGATTTGTCATACTAGTAAAGAACGACTCTAATTCTTTTGGAAATAATTCCGAATATGCTCCATAACCATAATATAACTTTAATTCGTGAAAACATTTTGGTGAATACTTTGCAACCATCTCTAATAATTCTCTCTCATTCAAACATTCATCATAACACTCAACTCGGATACTTTCCAGTCTCTTACAACGATTCAAAATTACTTTTAATGGTCCTAATTCATTATCAGAAAAGATCGTACCTAGCGATTTCAGATTGGGACATGATTTAACTATAGTTAAATTTAAAGTATGATTGACATTACAATACTTTAGCTCAAGCCTTTCCAAGTTCACTCCGTTGTTTTCCAAGAATTTAGTCAAACATTCTTGCTTTGGAAGTCCATATTTAAATTTTAAGATATGCAATTTCGGAAAGATGACGCCACACAACTTTTCAAAACCTAGATAATTACAATCATCAAAGGCTAGGATAAGTTCTTGTAAATTTGAGAAACGAGAAATAAATGATAATGGTATGCCACATTCATCTCCGTAAAGAGACAGCTTGATTAAAGTATTAGGAAGGTTTGCTATTGAAGGAAGTATAATCATATCCGCCAGATCTTCACAACGAGATTTGATTATGCTTAAATACTTTAAATTTCGCTGAACGGAAATCAAATCTGTCACACCATTTGAGATAACTTTTATAAATCCTATATTTAGAGATTGTATATTATGACAGATTTTGGATAGCCGATGAAAAAATTCCGAATAGATATTTGAATTGCAGTTTAATTCCGCAAGATTCTTCAAACAATCTATCGACCCAGGGAAGGAGGTAAACGGTATATATTTGATGTAGTTTGCACTGGAATAAAAGTTTAGTTTCTTCAAGGAGATTTTGTTCATAAACATTTTAAATATCTCTTGTGCCACTACTACCCGTGAAAGGACAAGTGGATCGTCTTCAAGTACATTATTGATTTCTTCACCAATTTTATTAATTTGAAGAACCTTAATAAAGGTGATGTAATTAAATAGTGGAGGGTTTAAGGTAGGAGGTGAGATGATGATTTTGTTCTTGAGCAAGATTTCTTTTGACTCGAGAGGAAGGCAGGCAATTAAAGTCCTACAATTCCAAATACTTTTCCATAAGATTTCGACAGAGACTTCACACCAAAGACGATTCACTAACAAACATGAGTATAAGGTAACCTTATCTTCCAAATCTTCCAAATATTCAAAAATTCCATTCAGGCAGTCAGCGGGAAGTTGACAAGGCATTGTAATTATTAATTCATCCAGATTATTTAACGACGTTTTTTTTTTTTTTTTTTTTTTTTTAAAGAATAAAGGTTCAATGCGTTTTGAAATTTACCAAAGAAATGAAGGTAAAAGAAGTTATACAAATAGAGCAACCAATGTATATTTTAGGAAGTTCACTATCAAAAACTCTTATTTGGTGACGCAAACAACAAATTCTTCGTCAACATAACCACCGCCTGTTGTGGCGCCGGAATTTGTAAAAATTGGTACGAACCGTCAAATATTTACATTGATGATCTGCATACGATTAGAGGTGCTTTAACGAGGTACAAATTTAAATAAAAATTATTTTAATTTTAATTAAACGATTCAGTTGCGGGATGATGGTGGTACGTTCTAAATCGTGATGAGGCGACAGGTGGGTCGTTCGAACGACAGGCAAAGGCATTTGCATTCCGAGATTGCGTGTAGTCACATGTAATGCTCAAGACTTCTAGAAATGGTATCATTCACCAAGTTTTTTGAAGGCAATTTCATTTCATTAGGCATATATTTAGAAGACATTAATTTTATTTGTGTTTCCATGCAACTTGAATTTTTCAAGCCAACACTGGTTTTTTGATATCCGTGTTTTAGTATATACATTCCACCACTAAAAAACGTCATCGTGATGCCATATTATTTTATTTGTTTGCTGCGCCAAAACATTTAAAATATGGCAAAACAAATCATCAGGTGATTGATTTCAAATAAAAGACTCTAGGGCTGATCGGTGGCTTCGATGATTAATTTGAATGGCTTGGCATTGACATTAAATCATGCCATTTTATTTTTATTTTACAGAACCAGGGTGGTTTGGCGTTTAGTTACTGCTAAAATTGGCAAGTAATTTATTGTACTACATACAACACAGTTAACACTCCCATCACTTTATACCAAAAATAAATTAAGTTCTGAGAAACGCGTATTGTCGCTGGATTTTCTTTTTACCGAATTTCCGATCAAGGTCATGGAATAATTAACATCTCTGGCCCCTCGCAATCTATTTAAATGATGCAGAATTTTATTGTTTTGCAAAGAGGACAATAATAATGATATATATTTTTTTTTAAAATTGCACGTCATGTTGAAATTTCCTAACTTTCTCAAATAAAAAAAATCTTTATAGCTAGACAAGGGAAACGGCTTAATCGGTTGAAATGTCAAATGGTTAATCATATTTTGTATATATAAGCAACCTTTATGCACAAAAAAACTTTACACGTTCAATAAAGAAGCAGCCTAAATTCCCAGGTAATGACTTAAATTAGGTATCTAAATGTAAATGAGCAACTTTGATGATTTTCGGACCCGGCGTCTAATATCCATACCCAGAATCAAGAGTAGAATTGGTCAATCCTGATAGAAAAAGATAAAATTTAGCGAATGCATGAACAAGTGAGTAAAGAACGAAACGAATAAAATCATGTAAATCCCAAAAAATATCCAATTAACCATTATTAAAAATTAGACCAATGATTCGACAGAATTAGGATGACAATGGAAATTACCGATGGTAATGATCGTAGTACGAAGCCGCATCCTTTGCCACATTATTAACGTCAATAAATGAATTCGCTGATTCGATAAAAAAGTATTTAAACCAGTTGAACCCTATTTTTAATGAATTATCAACCGTAAACGGTTTTTCCAACTTTATTTTCACGAGGAATTTAGGGTTGAACATTACAACCTGCTTTCTTGTAAGTCACTTTTTTTTACGTACAAATTTTCGATTATTTTCTTAATAATGATAAAAATTAAATCATGCAGGAATTTAAATATGGATCAATCACTCCTTGATTGATTATTAAATTTTTATTGTTTTGAAAATGACTTCGGCATAAGAGTTTTACCGTGATCAACTGTTTTTATATTTCCGTCTTGAATAGGAACGGCGTAACAACAATAATGTTTATTAATAAAAAGATTTTTTTTTTTTTTTCATCAGAACCCAGAACAAATTGTTTAGCGCCACTGTTTTTTCTTATTCTTAAAAAATCATTAAATAAACAAGGAATTTATTTATTGATTTTTGATAACAGATCACTTCTTCTACGCAACGCAAGCAATTTCATATCTTATAGGATACCTTTCCTATTCGAATCCAACGTTACAATGAACTCTCTCGAATTATTTTTTTGCAGATTATATCAATACGACAAGTTAATACGAGAGAATAAAAAAACTGGCAATACTCAAGAAGTTGAACCTCCTATCTTCGATATGAGCTTCGATTTCGAAGATGTGCCTCCGGCAACCGTCAATAAGCGGCATGATGAAAAGAAGGATAACGAAAATAAGAGGGAAGTCAAAAGTAGATCATCCATTCGCAAAACCAAACCAGTTAAAAAGATTCCAACTAAAGTTCAGGTCGAGCCAAAGTCGAAAGGTTCTAAAAGGATCAAGAATAATTTACGTATCGACATGTTGGGTTTTGACCAAAAACCTATTTACTCTATTCGTTCTAATTCTATCAAGCGGAGAAAAGCAAGCGAATGAATTTTGTATTCGTCATTGGGGTGACGGTCTCGTTTGAAGTTATTACTATGAACTTATGAAATTATCATCTTTTTAACATTTATCATGTAAAAGTTTCCCATTTTAATAATAATCGAAGTAATTGATTCATAAAATATACGTTACTTTTTATGTTTTATTGTTTTAAGAATATTTTTTATGACATGACTTAAAAGAATTCTAGAATTCTAGAATTATTTGATCCAATTTATTAATTTACTATATATATATATATATATATATATTTTTTATCCATAAGCTTTTATGTTAAAATTATATTATGTGAGCTATGCGAAATGATTTGAGACCTTTGCAATAGGAAGGGGAAACTACCGGAAAAAATCAATTTTCCAGATTTAACATTTACTCATTTTTAGCCGTTTCCCCCTTTCTATTGCAAAGGTCCCATATTTTTATTATCGGTTAATAATATTTGGTGATATTGCAATGTCAGCGTTAGTAACATTTGAGCAATATAACAATTATTGGATGAGAATATAAGAATTTCTCTATCACGTAAATTGATATGTGAGAATTTTCTGTAAAAATCTCCTACCTCCCACTTTTCGATCGCTTCCGCAAGATTATCAAAAGAATCTATCAATTTAAATTCTTCAGAAAGAACGAACGTTACAATGGTAACTCTATACATCCTGAAATATCATTCAAAAAGAACGTACTCAAATTCATTATACAGATAAATATATAGCTGATATAAGATGTTTGAGGGTTGCAGAACAATAACAGGTAGAATTACACGCAGTCAACCCGTTTCTTTCAGGGTATTTTCAATTGGATAAGTTATTGTTGCAGTGCAACACGAGATCAAAAGATCATCATTACTCAGTGCAAGATTATGATTTTTGTTAAAGTCTGATAAAACGGAGAGTCTTTTTTGTGTCAGCAAGCTGTCAACAACCAAGATAACTGCTGAAACTTGTTTCATGTCCATTTTTACGTATTTAGCAATTCCAATGATGTCGGTGTGAGTACGGTCAAATCTTCAATAATCTTATATTTGTTATTGCACTATGTATATTGTCATTCTTGAAATGATCGTAACATATTTGTTTCTTCACATGACATTGTCATTAAATTCGGATCTTGTTGATACATTACTTGGAACTATAAGAGGTGACCAAAGGATTTGGTTACCTAGAAGAGTAATATAAGAAAGTATTTGGGTTAATTGCTACATACCATCGGCATCCTTGGTTTATAATTTGGAACTCGTTTGTACTTAAGCAAAAAAAAAAAATAATGTATTATTAAACCTGACAGATGACAAAAAGATTTGAAATCCTTCACCTAAAAATGACATGATTTTGCTCTCTCCTCTCCTACCACACACTCTCACACTCTCTCTTCCTATCTTTATTCCTCACTCTCTCCACTCTCTCTTCCTATCTTTATTCCTCACTCTCTCCACTCTCTCTCTTTCTGATATAAATGTTTCAAGACTAGCTTGCATTTCTTTATCGCTTCCTCTAAGTATTAAAGCATCTCGCATCCTCCATTCTTTGGAAGAAAATCTTTTATTGCACCACGTTTATCTCGTAAGGGAAAGAGTTTATCATTGCTACATCAATAATCTACTTTTTCATTATATGTGAAGAAAAGTAAAGATACTAGTAAAGTTAAAATAAGAAATATATGTAGATTAAATAAAATGGAAGGTATAAAGTTAAAAGTTAGGTTATAAAAATAAACTAAAAAATTACAGCATTTTTTTGAAATTATTTGTTGATAAAAATTTTCGTCATTATAGTAATCTTCCAAGTAGGGCCCAATTGTCTTTTCTTTTTGCAAAAAAAAAAAAAAAACGACAATTATTTCAACTACGAATGAAATTCACTGAGAATATCCATATATTTTTTTTTCTTAAGGGGAAAAGAGAATTATAAAAAAAAAAAAAACTGTTATTGAATTTAACTTTTTTCGGGGATTCTTTAATATGGGGGCTCATTAATAACCTAATATAGTAAGGTATGGGCTCTTATAATGTCATTTTTGTAAAATATGAAATTCTTATCAATCCCGTGTTGTTATCATTACGTTAAAACTTCCTTACAAATAAAATCAAGCTCATTCGAAATTCCGTTTTTAACCAATTTTTTTTTATTTAGATTGATTATGTAATATTATATAACCAATCCCTTTTTCTTTTTTCTATTTCTATTTTTTATTTTTTATTTTTGCATGAATAGCCTTGGTCTTCTGAATTTTTGAAATGGATCTTTGAGATAAGTATTAGGTGAAGTTCCAAACATTTCTTTTTTTTGTAATAATACCTTTATATCTTAAATTTTCTCTTGAATCAGCTCTTGAGAGGTACTTTGTGTGTGATGGAGTCTCTCTTTAAAATGAATATTTCTAAAAACTTGCTTTATAAAAGCTGTTTTCTTGGATCATTGCATCATAAAATTTACTTAGACCAGCTCTTGAAAGTAAATTGTGGATAGTTTGGTTGAAAGAATTCATATTTTTTTTTTTTTTTTTTTTTGTAAGAGCTTTTATATCTATATCATAGAATTTCTCTTGGATCAGCTCTTGGGAGGTTGCTTTTGATGAGATAATATTGCGGAGGGTGGTTTGTTCATTCCTTTTTTATTACTATTTTTTTTTTTTTTTTTTTTTTTTTTTTAACGTTAAGGATTGATTCTTCATTTATTGAATTAGGTAAGACTTAAGGATTATTCAGTGGGTTCATTTTTATTTTTATTTAGGATCGTTCTCTTCTTTTTAATTAATTAAATTTAGGATCGATCGCACCCTCTGGCGGTGTATTTATTTTAATTAATTTAATTTAAATTTTTGTCTTAGGATCTTTTACCTATTTCAAAAATGGTTTCTTAATAATTACCTGATGTATTAAATTAAATGCTATAATCATATATATGACATATGCTATTAAAATCACGTTACGGATCATATGATTTACTACGTTCGTTCAATTCGACCAAATTAACATTTCTATAAAAGATTGGTTATAAGGGTCACTTGTAAGTATCTCTATCTATCCATTTCATTTCAAAAAAAAAAATTTTTTAATAAATTCACAGAAACGAAATCCCTAATTTTTATAAATATGCTAAAGCTATTGAAGCCTTGAACATTCTTATTATTTTTTGTTGTATTTATTATGGAAATTAAGGTTTGAAGTTTATGCATTTATACATAAAACGTAATATAATTAAAGTCATACTTTGAATCTTAAAGTTATAAATATTCACGTAATACGCAGAGCAGAAACCGTTTCAATTTATTATACAATAGCGTGGAAACGGTTATAATCGAACGTAATTCAAGCTAATGTGTTAATTAATTTGTCAATTTTTCAATCTATGAACTTTTTCAACCAAATTGAATATTTGAGAAAATTTACTTTAAGTCCATATATAATTTATTAACGAGTTATCGAAGCTAACAATAAAAAATTATTTTCATGGAATAAAACTTTAACGAGAATGAATCAAGTAGGAATTTATTTTCATTAGAGTTTGAAACCATGCGAAATTTAATATTCGTTCAAATATTTGTTCAAATGAAATGAATTTTCGGAATTTATTTTTTCCTCGAATTTATTTGTCTTTTCCATTTAATAAAATCAATGATGAAATAAAAATTATTTTGTATCGTGACTACAAGCAATTATAATAGTCTTTTGCTTTTCTAATGCTTTATAGTATTGATGTTTAAGTTTGTGTGAAAATCAATGTGTTGTTTATTTTATTTACGGATAAAACATTTTTTTTAAAAAAAAAAAAAAATAAATAAATAAATTGATATGATTAATTTTCAAAATATCAAATCAATAAGATTTATCTCTTTTTTTCGATACTACGCTACCAAAGGATACTTCGTATTTTTCTATTTGTATTATTACCTTTCAACAATCCACTAGAACTTTTACAGTCAACAAAATTAGGTCACGAATTTAACAAAATGAATTTACTATTTCGGGTAATTCTTAAGCACTTAGGTATAGACTAATTAACCTGTTTACGGTTATTATGACGGTTAAATGACTTTCTTAAGCCACAAAAGCGATGTGAAATTTGTGCAGTTCAACGTGGGTGTTTATTGTTATTTGTTTCTTTACGAATTTTTTTGCAAAATTTCTTAACACCTATATATTCAGTTAAAATTCCTTTGAATGCATCACTTACTTAAATAGTAAGGAGAAGATCCTTAATTCTTCTAAATTTCCAGAATGTTGAACCATATATATTTACAACTCTGAATAATAAATTATTATAGCGCTCAATAATCTATAGAATTTATTTATGACAAAGAAGAAAGTTTACATGATAAGCTACCGGAATATATAGTTTTTTTATAATGCTTTTGCTAATTTTCAAGATAGTTTGCAATTTGAAATCTTTAAGCGACACATATATGCAACGGTCAAAATATATGAATTATATAGTTTTTTTATTTTATTTTATTTTATATTTTCAAAAATGAGGATCATATTCTCATAGATTCCTTAAATGACAGGATGAATACGAAATTTTCTGCTTCTTTAGTTCTCCATAATCTCAAAAACCTGATTTCCCTAAAAATAAAACCATATTACTTCCGTTACTTATTCATAATTTTTTTTTTTGAATGAAAGGCAGGTACGTCTTACAATAATCGTTTGATCGTTAAAGTAGTTAACACAATTTCTTTCGACAGCAAAAGTACAGTCAGACCTCCATACAGTCACACCTTCTTATAAGCACCTATTTTAAATATTATTAATATTATAAATTACTTTTATGTAGTCACAAATCGGCTATAATCACTATTACATTAAACTCATAACGTACATATATTTTTTGTTAGTAATTCGACCTCTTCATAATCACAAATTTCCGATTGGCTTATATTGGAGAAATTAATTGGCTGATTTTTTTAAAAAATGTAACAAATAAAAATGTCACATAATTTACCTGATTTGGGAAACAAAGATTATTTAAATTGTTAAACATAGACGG